ATTCTTAAATTGAGAATAATTATATTTGACTTATTAAGAGATTATAATAGCATCAAATACTGATATACTGCCAATCCGATGATCCATACAAATATTTCGAAGGTGAAGTGACCTTTCTCGAAGGCTCCAGATTTTTGAATTTTGCCCCACTTCAAAAGTTCACATAAAATCCGTTGAATTGCGTTTGCTGATGTAAAATTGATATTTTCTTGACTGTTTGAAACTTCTCTTGCCGAAATTCCTTTCTTCTTTTTCGCTTGTGTTTTCTTGCCGGTTATGTTCCTTTTTTTTTTTTTTTGTGTAATACAAGAAATGCAAAGTGTGAGAGAGAAGAGAAATGCAACAATTAAAGTTTGAATTTCTGACCATCAAATATCTGGTACTTACAGTTAAAAGAGATACCGCTACACCCCTGTTATATTCCTTTCTTAACATGTAAGTCTGAACTCTTATACCAAAAATAAATATAAAAGCTAAAATAGAAAAGGGACCTTTTTACGTGGGCGTATTACCTCTGTTTCCGAGGGTGGGCTGTGAATTTGCCTAACATAATGAACGATTACCCTTTTGTAAGCCAAAATTTGGTCCTTCTACAAATGTAGTGAGAGATTAGATTACATTTCAGAGATGAGATTTTGACATCTAGCATTACAAAGAGCCATGAATCATGGTTTTACGTGATCAATATTAGTGGGTATAAATCAACTTAATAATATTATAAATTGACTGAGAACATATAATTCACTGCATTGGTACAGTTTTTATGGTTATATACCACTGCCTTTGACAATTAAAATAAAACAAAACGAGAATAAATTTCAACAGATTTTTGTATGTTCTTGTAAATTGATAAATTCTAAATTTTCTAATTTCTTTAAAATCTTGAAAATACATAATTTTTCATAATAACAATAATATAAATTTGAGATACCTATATTGATCCATAAACTAGATGTTTGAGATGCTTAAGAAATAGAGACAATCTAATTTATTCTATTATTTAACCTAATTCTTAAAGACTTATTTCAATGTAAGTGATGGTGGAAGAAGAAGAACACATAAGAAATGATAGGAATAGATCAGTTTTTATATAATAAAATAATATCTATAAAATACTAACTTCCATTAAGTTAGTAGTTATCTATTAAAAAACTACCTAACAGTTATCTTTAAAGAAATAATTGCTTATCCATTATAACTAATTAGATTGCATCACTATATATATATATTATATATATATCAAATCTTTTAATATATCACATGTCTCACACTAATCATAAAAGTTTTACAGTTCTTATAAGTAAAATACAATTATACACAATTAAATCACCCTGTCAGCCAGAAAATCAAAGCTTCAGTTAAAAAAAGAAAATTATATGCCACCTGATTACATGAAGGATAATAAGGGAAAATCATATTTTGTATCAAAATTTTAAGTTTAAAGAATTTTTATTTTTAAAAAAAATTATTAAGAGGAAAAAAAAGATTTCGAGAACTAAAATCCTAGAACACACTCACTCTCTCTGTCTTTCTTTTGCATATATTTTTTTTTTTGTCTCTCACCTTCACCTCTCGTGCCCACTCTCACCTTTGCTTACCTTCCATCATGTTACACTAATTTTTCTATGCAAATTTTTACTATTTTTTTCATGAGAAACTGATGAAATACTAATTTTTCTTCTAATTTTATTTTTTTTAAATAGGTAAGTTCTAGTCTTTTTCTTTTGTAAGAGGCAGATATATTTAGAATAAATAACTTTCCTTTCCTTTTTAAATTCTCCTATGAAATATTAATTATTTATTCGGTGGTCAATTCACAAACTTAATAAAAATTTCAATAGGCAGAAGCATGTTATAATTTAATTACTTCTTTTCTCAAGTTTAAATTCTCACCTCATTTTTTTTTCTTTTGCTTTGTTGGTTGCAGATTGTTCACAAAAAAAAAGAAGATTTATTTATTGTAATATTTTTTGCTTTTTCCTTTTTATATTTCCTGTAGCACATCATCTTATATGAATTTTTCTCAAGAAGAAGAAGAAGAGAAGGGGGGGGGGGGGGGGACAATGAAGTACCACAAATTTCATACTGATCAAATCCTATTGGCACCAAGACACCAGACCTCTGTCACGATTAATTCTTTACCCCTTCTGCCTATTTGTACATTCGTGTCACCCAAACAAAGAAAGCCACCACCTTCTCCTAATCAAAGAATTACAATATTCTCTCTCTCTCCTTCTAAAACTCAACAAGAACAACAAAAAAGAAGCTGGGAACCATTCACAAGCTGAAACTAAAAGCTTATTAATTTATCTAGAAAAAATAAAAAGACTTGGTAATCATAGGGCAGGTGCAAATACCTGCACGGTTGAAAACTGATTGATCCTTCTAAGAAATGTGGAGAACAAAGCATGCATATGAATTCAAGGGGTAAGAAAAGTCTCCTGCCCAAAATGGATCAGCCGAACAAGATTGACGTGCCTAAAATGTCTGAGATTATGAAAACAGATGCTTGCACTCAACACGTAAGCCACAAAATTAGTGAAAAGGAACATCAGAATACCAATGCAACCTTCTCCTTTGAAAAAAGAGAGCATGGATGGGCTATAAGAGGCTCATAATGGTCTCCACCGGCACACACCAACCTGCAAATATAAGAAAGTATTTTTAACACAGTTTGGGGACATGGGGGAGGGGGAAGGTTGTTAAAGCATCAAAAAACATGAGCATCGATGGTTTGTGAGCTTTTCTTTATCAAGGAAGCCAGGGCTTCTGCAGCAAAAGCCCTCACGTTACAAAAAATTAGGAAGTCTTCCAAACTGTGTTTATAAACCAACAACCTAATTTTCAAGGCTTTCTCCATGAAAGTTTCCAGGAGGAGAAACCAAATAACCCAGATGGAATAAGTAATAGAAATTATAACTGCCAAATTGAAAAACAATAACATATTCAAATCTGCTACTAATGGATAAAAACTATTACCTGTCCCTTTCATGAAGAGGGAGAACGGAGGTTCACCAATTTGGCTCCCCGGACAATATGGGAATAAAAAAAAAAAAAAAAAACACACAATTTTGTTCATCTACCATTGCATCAGATCCATGAGCTTGAACTTTTAAATGGAAGATCTGAAGAATTTTAATATGATACTCAAACCAGCCGACTAAGTTCATGCAAAGACAATAATTCTTGTGTTTCAAATGGAATTTCATTACACAACTTAAACATAATGATTACCAAGGAAATTGCATTTGCGATCACAGAAATAATTGACAGAAGAAAATAGGACATACTAAGGGCAGTTCTGGAAAAGCTTATCCACTAACTAAACCCTATTATCTATCACTTCATTCTGCACAGTTAAGCCATATCTGAGAAGAAGATGTTTCAAACTGTCAATGCATATCAAGTAAGATATCTCTCCCTGGTTTTCTCTATCTTAATCTATTCTCTCATATTTTCTCTCTATCCCCACTTGCTTGGTCCATACACATCCTTTTAGAATTTTCTCTCTGCCACCTTTTTTTTCCTAAAATTTTCCCTCCAAGTTTGTTGACCTTCCATGTAATTTCCTTTCTACAAAATGCTAATTTTTTGAACATAAAAAATTGGACATTTGCTTTATCTACATTTATTAGTGTTTTCTTTTCCTTTTTCTTTTTATAAAAGTAAGTCTTCTCAGAAGAGGAACATGAGAAAAGCCTTAATTGCTAGTTTCTTTTCAGATTCAAAGAAAAAAATACTTATAAAAAAAAAAAGAACCGCTTCAGGAAATATTGACCCAATTCCCCACGTGAATATATCTTATTTATATACTTAAAATTGACAAAAGATTACACATATCACACTTTGCCTCACTTAAGAATTGTTAATGTACATTCCAAGGAGGCAGAAGAGATAAAAGTTCCAAACAGAAGGCCACTCTCCCAAATAGAAAACAAAAAGAGCAAAACAAAACAAGTACAAACCAACAGAAAGGGAATAAGATTTTCTTTTTACCACATAGATCTCTCTCTGGAATTCAGTTGCAAGACATTTCATTGCTACATCATCTCCAAATGCAGCAGCAGGACTTTCCCTATTCTCACCTACGGTTAACAGACCTTCCTCTGCATAATGTAAAGTGATGATATCATGCTCATCATTGGAAGAACCACATATTGACATGTAATTGCCCAACTCTGCCCATTATTCACAGGAATACAACTCTCTTTGTAAATGGATTCGGTAGCCAATTCTCTTCAATCAAAGTAGAAAATCAGACAATTTGCGAGGGTCATTCTAGACAGAACTGACACTTAAATTCAAAAGCAATAACCGAACTTTCGATTGAAATAATTCTATCGTAGGAAATCACCCACCTAAATGTAGATAAAACGGAACTAACACGAATGGAACATGCCAAACAGAAAGTAGCTCGAGCTGGTGGTGTCACCCCTGAGTCTGCGTCCAATAGCTATTACACAGCATATCATACGCTGTTTGCTTGATTCCAGCTTTGTTAGGCTTAGGCGTACTAGTACGTAACACGGCAATTACTCTACCAATTAGTATGACAGCATGATTTTCTTCGAAAATTCTGACCCAAAAAGCCAAAAACAATTCCGAACACAGCATTTCCAGGCTTAAAACTGAAGAAGCTATGAAATCCTCACCTATGTCTTCTGGACTTGTGGCTTTTTCAAAAAGCTGTTGACATCCTGACTTCAAGTTTTTCACCTTCTGACATTTTTTTGGACTATTGGTTTAAAAGTCAAACATGAAATCTAACCCAACTACCTTACATTGGAAAACATGGACAACCATTAACCTTAAGCCTAAAATGCGTGAAAACTAGTCTTTCCTGAAGCTCAAAACGGCAGGATTACCACCCTAGCTTCAACTTGGAGATGCAGCAGACAAAGTTAAGCCCAAACAGCTTTTATGTTTTCTGCACTTAAACGATGAATATATATGTCACAATGTCGCGAAATTTTTACCTTTGCATACCAAGATGAATGAGCTCCTCAATGGCCGAATCCAAACCCTTCTGATCTTCCTTCTACGCCAACAATTTTCACTTCTTGAACCACATCTACGCCTCACCCTGAAGTCAAGCTGGGGTGTACATGTGGTTCAAGAAGTGAAATTGTTGGCGAAGAAGGAAGATCGGAAGGGTTTGGATTCGGCCATTGACAGCTCGTTCATCTTGGTATGCAACGGTAAAAAATTTCTCGACATTGTGGCATATATATTCAGCCTTTAAATCCAGAAAACATAAAAGAAGTCCAGAATTCGATAGCTGTTTGGGCTTAACTTTGTCTGCATGCATCTCCAACTCGAAGTTAGGTGGTAACCCTGCCGTTTAGAGCTTCAGGAAAGACAAGTTTTCACATATTTTAGGCTCAAGCTTTGTGGTTTTCCATGTTTCCCAATGTAAGGTGTTTGTTTAGCTTTCATGTTTGACCTTCAAACAAAAAGAAAAAGCCAGAAGGTGAAAAACCAGAAGTCAAGATGTCAACAGCTTTTTGCAAAGCCACAAGTCGAAAAGACATAGGTAAGGATTTCATAGCTTCTTGGGTTTTAAGCCTAGAAATGCTGTGTTCGGAGTTGTTTTCGGCTTTTTAGGTCAGAATTTTCCAAGAAAATCATGCTATCACACTAATTGGTAGAGTAATAGCCCTATTAAGTACTAGTACGCCTAAGCCTAACAAAGCTGGGAACCAAACAAACAGCGTGTGATATATTCTATGTAATAGCTGTTGGACACAAACTCATGGATGTCACCACTAGCCCGAGCTACTTCTGTCTGGCACGTTCCATTCTTATTAGTTCCATTTTATCTACATTTAGGTGGGTGCTTTTCTATCAACGGAATTATCAAATTGAAAGTTTGATTATTGTTACTGAATTTAGGTATGAGTTCTGTATAAAATGACACTTGCAGATTGTCTGATTTTCTACTTTGATTGAAGAGAATGGGCTGCCGAATCCATTTACAAAGAGAGATGTTTTCCTGTGAATGATGGGCAAAGTTGGGCCAAGTACATGTCAATCTGTGATTCTTCCAATGATGAGCATGATATCATCACTTTACAATATACAGAGGAAGGTCTGTTAACCGTAGATGAGAATAGGGAAGGTCATGCTGCTGCATTTGGAGATGATATAGCAATAGAGTGTCTTGCAACTGAATTCCAAAGAGAGATCTATGTGGTAAGAAGAAAATCTTAGTCCCTTTCTCTTGGTCTGTACTTGTTTTGTTTTGCTCGTTTTGTTTTCTGTTTGGAAGAATGGCTTTCTGCTTGGAACTTTATCTCTTCTAGCTCCAGGGAGTATGCATTAAAATAATTCTTATGTGAGGCAAAGTTTGATATGCAATCTCTTGTCGATTTTAAGCATATAAATAAAAAATATTCGCGTGGGAGAAATAGGTCAACATTTCCTGAAGCGGTTGTGCTTTTTTTTAGTTTTTATTTTTCATTTTCTTGTTTAAATCCAAAAAGAAACTACCAATAAAGGCTTTTCTCATGTCCCTCTTCTGAAAAGACTTATTTCTATAAGAAAAGAAAATCTTAATAAATATGCAAATAAAGCAAATGTCCCTTTTTTGTTCAAAAAATTAACATTTAGTAAAGAAGAAATCAAATGGAAAGTTAACAAAGTTGGAGGGCAAATTTTAGAAAGAATAGGTGGTAGAGAGAAAATTCTGTAAATATATGTATACCAAGAGAGGAAATTTGAGATAAAAAGAGAGTAAGCTAGAAGGTAGAGAGAAATTTGAGAGCGACGTCTTAGTATTCAATGACCGGTTTGAGTGGGTGACCCAACATGTATCTAATTTCAAACATCTTGTTCTCAGAGATGACCTAACTGTGCAGAATGAAGTGATAGTTAAATGCTGTTTTGTTAGTTATAGGCTTTTCAGAACGGCCCTTACTCTGTCCTATTTTCTTCTGTCTTACTTATTCTGTGATTGCAAATGCAATCTCCATGGTAATCATTGTCTTTTACTTAGTGTGCTAAAATTCTATTTGAAACAACAGTCTTATTGTCTTTGGATGAATTTAATCGGCTAGTTTGAGTTTCATATTAAAATTCTTCAAAACTTCCATTTGCAGGTTCAAGCTCATGGATATGATGCAATGGTGGATGAACAAAATTGTGTTTTCCTCCTCCCTCATCGCCCGAGGAGCCAAATAAGTGAACCCCCGTTCTTTCTCTTCATGAAAGGGACAGGTTATAGAACTTGTCCCTTAATAGCAGATTTGATTATATGATTGTTTTTCAAATTGGCAGTTATAGTGTCTATTAATTATTCCATCTGGGTTATTTGGTTTCTCCTCCTTCTGGAGACTTTCATGGAGAAAGCCTTGAAAATTAGGTTGTTTGTTTATAAACACAGTTTGTAAGACGCCCCAATATATTGTAATGTGAGGGCTTTTGGAGCAAAAGCCCTGGCTTCTTTTGGTAAGGAAAAGCTCACAAACCATGGATGCTCATGTCTTTTGATGCTTTACAAACTTCCGCCTTCCCCATGTCCTCGAATTGTGTTAAAATACTTCCCTATATTTGCAGGTTGGTGTGGTGCCGGAGGGGACCATTACGAGCCTCTTATAGCCCATCCTTGCTCTCTCGTTTCGCAGGAGAAGGTTGCACTGGTGCTCTGATGTTCCTTTAACTAATTTTGCGGCTTACGTGTTGAGTAGAAGCAGCTATTTTCTTAATCTCAGACATTTTAGGTGCGCCGATCTGGTTCACCAGATCCATTTTAGGCAGGAGACTTTTCTTCCCCCTTGAATCCATATTCATTCTTTGTTCTCCACATTTCTTAGAAGAACCAATCAGTTTTCAACCGTGTAGGTATTTGCACATGCCCTTTAATTTTTTTCTAGAGAAATTAGCAAGCTTTTAGTTTCAGCTTATGAATGGTTCCCGGCTTCTTTGTTGTTATTCTTGTTGAGTTTCTGAAGGAGAGAAAAAGAATATTGTAGTTCTTTGATTAGGAGAGGAGGTGGCTTTCTTTGTTTGGGTCACTCGTATGTACGAATAGGCAGAAGGGGTAGAATTAATCGCGACAGGGGTTTGGTGTCATGGTGGCACTAGGATTTCATCAGTAAGAAATTTGGGGTGCTTCGTTCTCCACCCCCCCCCCCCCCCCCTCCTTCTTCTTCTTGGGAATTTAATATTAAGATTGATGTGTTAAAGGAAAAATTTAAGAACAAAAAGGGAAAAAAATACTGCACCCATTTCTCGGTACTTTTAGTGAACTATCTGCATTCAACAAAACTAAAAAAAAAAAAAAAATGAGGTGAGAATTTAAATTGGAAAAAAAGAAAGTTACTAAGGTAAAACATATTTCTGCTCCTTGAAATTTTTGTTATATTTGTGAATTGACTATCAAATAAGGAAAAAAGCATTTCACAGGGGAATTTAAAAATGAAAGTTATTTATTCTAAATTTATCAGCTTCTTCTAAAAGAAAAAGACTAATGAAAACAATAAAAATATGTTTGGTTTACATTTTTCAATTAATTAAAAATGAGAACTCAATTGAAAGAAATTAAAGTTTTAGGGTTTTTTATAGGGGTTTCAGTGAAGAAATCAAAACTTCTAAAATTGGAATCAAGATTCAAAAAGTTGAAGGACCAAACTGAGGGAAGAGGAAAATATTAGGAACTAAAAAAAATCACAAAATTGCAAAGGGATTGTCGCCTTCCTACAACAGGTTGCGATTGGGTGTATATAAGACCCGATCACAAACCTGACATCAAAACTCCTTCAATCTCGAATTTTTCTAGAAATTTTTACTTAGATTTTATATCTTGTACTCCAAAAAACAAAAATTTAAACTAATTTAAATAAATGATATGCCAAATACTGAAATTTCAGAAATTCAAAGGAGAAAAAATCGAAAATTTTTGTGATCACTGATCAATGTTTCACAAATTCGATCAATGTTTTGCAGTTTCTGATTGATGGAGCTCGACGTCGACTCTATGAATAGGATCAACGAACAGAGCATGGCGTTGACTCTGTGAATAGAGAATGACAAATAAGCCTCTTCACGACTTCTACCCTCTCACTCGGCACTCCAGCAAACAACCATTTCACAATATTGAAAATGCGAACAAACCAAAATAGGTTGACTACGTTTGCCAGCAAGCGTAGCGTAGATCAATAGCATAGACTTGAGAGTTACGAGAAAAATACCAAAAATTGACTTTATTACAAATGTGCCATATGTTTTCAACTGAAAATGCAAAAACTAACTTTTTACCCTATTTCTCTTTTTAACCCAAATTTAGAAAATGTTTTCTAAATATGAAAATGAAAATGGGACACCAAACACGTTTTCAACTATGTATTCCATTTTTACTGAAAATAAAAACAGAACAACCAAATAGCCCTAATATTTTCTCTATTCTTATGAAAAATGTATGTTGATGGATGCACTAGAAAATGAGAGAGTGGGAAAGGAAGGAGAAGATGCAGTGGAAGATGAAAGAAATAAAAATAAAAATAAAAAAAGAATAAGTGATAGATAGAGGGAGTGAGTGCTTCTAAATAGAAAAATAATCTCTCTTCTGATCGCTCATTATTAGGCAAAATATAAGTAATTATTAATTAAGTTCTGAATTTTACTAGTTTTGAAATGGGAATGTTAATTATTGTCTTTTCCATTTCAATTTATTTTTTTATTTCAAATTCTAATGAAGATGTCAATAATAATTTTCTTTGAAATGAACTGTTTTGGAATGGAAACGGATTAAATATTATTTATTTAATTTATTAGGAATTAATTGATACTAAATTAAGAATTGTTTAAGAGGTAGATTTATAAGATTAACGGATTCTTAAAGACACAATTTTAATATAAATTTTCAGGAATTTTTTCAAAAGTCATTGTGTTTTTGATTTTTGAGATTTTCAAATGAGATAGAGGCATGTGGATTTCTCTTGCTACGTGTGTTACTTTTCATCTCCCTAAAAACTTCCCGTTTTATATCATATCAGTTGGGGGGAGACGGTTGTTAATTTGTTTCGATTTTTAATTTATATTTAGTAATGATAAGTATGGTATAAATATATATATTTATATATGTTAGGACGATAACTATAAATTATAAAGTAAAACTAATTTTAATATTATAAATTAACACCAATTAAATAAAAGTTAGTATAAAACGTTACTTTTAATATCAAATTAAAATATTGAATAAGCTGATAAAGTGACAAAAGACTTAAAAAAAACGTTAGCATATATTAGCACATGTATGTAAAAAGAAAATATATATGCCCATGAATCCTTGTATAATGGTACAAAGAAGAAAAATCTATTAACCTAGCTCGATTTTATTTTGAAAATTAACATCAGATTACATTATGTTAACTTATCATCTTATTTGAAAAAGTACCTTTATTCAAAGGGTATTTAAGTTCTATATTTATCTTCAAATTTAGTGAGATTAAATTACATTTCCGAGTTGAGGTATTACATGACCAATATCAACGAGTATAAATCAACTTAATAATATCACAAATTGACCGAGAATACACAATTCACTACATTGGTACAGTTTTACGGCTTCATACCACTGCCTTTCACAATTAAAATCAAGCCAAAACGGGAATAAATCTTGAGAAGACTACTATATATTCTTGTAAATTGATAAATTCTAAATTTTATAACTTTTTTAGAATCTTGAAACACATAATTTTCACAATAACAATAACAACAATATAAATTTGAGATATGTATATTGATCCATAACTAGATGTTTGATATGCTTAAGAAATATACATGAAACTAATTTCTATTATTTAACCTTCTTAAAGACTTATTTCAATGTAAGTGATGGTGGAAGAAGAAGAAAACGTAAGAAATGATAGGAATAGGATTAGTTTTTATATAATAAAAAAATATCTATAAAATTCTAACTTCCATTAAATTAGTAGTTATCTGTTAAGAAACTGCTTAACCGTTATCTTTAAAAAACTAAATATTTATCCATTATAACTAATTAGATTTTATCGCTATATATATATATATATATATCAAGTCTTTTAATATATCACATGTCTCACATGAATCATAAAAGTTTTACAGTTCTTACAATCAAAATGCAATTATACATAGTTAAATCATCCTGTCAGCCAAGAAACAAAACTTCAGTTAAAAAAGAAAATTACATGCCACCTGGTAAGCTCTAGATTTTAGATGAAGCAAATCAAAGGGACAATTTACGAACACAATAATACAGAAAATACTAACAGGATCTAACCCTGAGTTAAAAAAGCTTTATACTTTGCAAGAAATCCACAGATAAAATCAGCCTACAGCCAGAACAAAAACAAGGTGATTTGTGCATATAAGCAAGGTCACTTGTGCTGACAAAAATAATAATTATAACAAGTTGATTTCGTGAAAGATATTCAGAAAGATATTATGCCTAAAGTGGAATTTCTATCTTCGGAATTCTGCAATGAAAGCATTTTCAAACCATCCAAAGATCATTTTAAGCCCAAATTTGAGCCAAAACAACTATTTTTAAGTTCGGAATCTTTGGACAATGTCTGGGCATTCAAGAAATTCATATCTATAAATAACATATAGAAACAGACAGACATGCAAGCACACTAAGAATTCTTGATAAGTCACGTTGACCTACTGAGGCAACAAGTAAAAACGCTGTAATTGTTTACTTGTGAGAATGGCTTTACCAGGTGGAATGAAAATCAGAGCCTTCCAACAGGAGTTCTTGTCACTCATCAGGTCTCAAACAGGAAAGTGATGGCATGTTGGAATTACTCACAGCAAACAAAAAGAAAAATTCAGTATTCAAATCTTGTTGTTACCTCCATTTTCTTAAGAATATTTCCCAAGCTTCCCACCTGTCAGAAGATATGGATTGTATGACCATTTTAGAGTTGAAGCATCCTACACTCGAGTCAAATTTAGAGTAACAGAATTTCAAAGCATATGTTCCATAAGGCCATGACACTGACCATGAAGAATGCAAAGCTAAGTTTTAGCTTATGTGAATCTGGCAAGATTGAATTGCCACGTTTTGTACTAAACATTTTGAATTAAAAAATTTTATATATATTTCTTGATCTTATAAATGGAAGATTGAGATTTACATGCTCCATTGTGGTTTATATTTATATGTATCAATTTCTGCTCTTTCAATGACATGACATAGCAATAACTCAAAGAAGTAGTCAGCCAAACCAAACCAAACAAAACCTTTAGTAAAAATATGAGAAGGGATGGTGAAGGGAAGCTGCTTTAATCCTCTAGTTTGGATATGCTTCTTTACAGTACATATAATTTAAAGCAGCAAATAGATTACAGTCAGCATCATTGAAAAAAAAAATGATGCATGCTTGGGTAGAGAAAGCAGGTAAAAGAAAAAAAAATGCAAGAGAGATATTTATCATGCATGCTTATTAACTGAATCATACTCTCTCTCTTTATATATATATATATATATGTATATAATTAAAAATCTTATTCTTAATAATATAATTTGTTTTTATGATTTAACTGCATTTTTTTGGTAACTAATTATTTTCTTTCTTAAAAAGTGATTTCTATTAGAATGATTCAAATTCTTTTATATTGTATAAATATATTTGTTTTACAATTTGTAATTATTATAATTAATTGATACATAATAAATTTATTGAATTAAATAGGTTAAAAAATTTTTGAATTTTTGAATTTAGGAAAATTTTTGTTGAATTTTTTATAAAAATAATAAAATTAATCTATTTTATTTTTTATAAATAGCAAATCGTGATTTAAAACCATACCAACCATGAACCATATTGTAATATAATTTTTAAAAATTAAAAATTATAAAATATAATTTAATTTTAATTTAAACATTGAATCACACTGATCCGAATCAAACCAGATTATACCAAATCATAAACACCTTTAGGTAATATGAGGTTGACCAGTTGTTGTAATGTCACGAAGCAACCATCCATCCATCCATATTTGCCACCTCTAAATAATTTGAAAAGCCAAAAGATTCAATGCATTTGGTATTTTGTGCGTCTGAAAAAGTAGAGAAAATCAATTAAACAACCCTCCAAGATTGTCCTCCTTGGCAACTTTCTGTGAGAATCAAAAAGTTGGAACAGGCGTGAATTATTGTACGCCAGCAAGAGGAAGACAGTGGAGTTTGCTTGTGTGAGTTAAACTTGACAGAAGGTTCCAAGTGAAGGATAATCAGAGAAAATCAAATTTGGTGTCAAAATTTTAAGTTTAAAAATTTTTAATTTTTTTAAAAAAATTATTATGAGAAAAAAAGATTCCAAGAACTAAAGTCCTAGAACACACTCATTCTCTCTGTCTCTCTTTTACATATTTATTTATTTTTTTACGTCTCTCAGCTTCTCCTCCCTTGCCCACTTCACCTTCAATTACCTTGCATCATCTTACACTAATTTTTCTATGTAAATTTTTAATATTTTTTTTCATGAGAATTGATGAAATACTAATTTTTGCCTGCAATTTTATTTTTTCTAAACAGGCAAGTTTTAGTCCTTTTCTTTTATAGAAGGTAGATATATTTAGAATAAATAACTTTCCTTGTTTTTTAAATTCCCTTATGAAATATTATTTATTTATTTGGTGGTCAATTCACGAACTTAACAAAAATTTCAAGAGGCAGAAATATGTTTTAATTTAATTACTTCGTTTTCAAATTTAAATTTCTCACCTAAATTTTTTTTTTCTTTTGCCTTGTTGGTTGCAGATTGTTCACAAAAAAAAAAAGGATTTATTTAGTGTAATATTTTTTTTTCATTTTTCCTTTTTATGTTTCCTTTAGCACATCAATCTTGATATGAACTTTCCTGGAAGATGAAGGAGGAGGAGGAGGAGGCCCCGGGGGGGGGGGTTGGGTTTTGGGTGGGGGTGGGGATTTGGTTAGATGAGGTAACGCAAATTTCATACTGATGAAATCCTGTAGGCACCAAGACACCAGACCCCTGTCACGATAAATTCTCTACCCCTTCTGCATATTTGCATATTCGAGTCACCCAAACAAAGAAGGCCACCACCTTCTCCTAATCAAAGAATTACAATATTCTTTTTCTCTCCTTGTTAAACTCAACAAGAACAACAACATAGAAGCTGGGAACCATTCACAAGCTGAAACTAAAAGCTTGCTAATTTCTCTAGAGAAAAATAAAAAGACTTGGTAATCATAGGGCAGGTGCAAATACCTGCACGATTGAAAACTGATTGATCCTTCTAAGAAATGTGGAGAACAAAGCATTAATATGAATTCAAGGGGAAAAAAGTCTCCTGCCTAAAATGGATCAGCCGAACAAGATTGACGTGCCTAAAATGTCTGAGATTATGAAAACAGATGCTTCTACTCAACACGTAAGCCACAAAATTAGTTAAAAGGAACATCAGAACACCAATGCAACTTCTCCTATGAAAAGAGAGAGCATGGATGGGCTATAAGAGGCTCATAATGGTCTCCACCAGCACCACACCAACTTGCAAATATAAGAAAGTATTTTTAACACAGTTGGGGGACATGGGGGAGCGGGAAGGTTGTAAAGCATCAAAAAACATGAGCATCGATGGTTTGTGAGCTTTTCTTTATCAAAGGAAGCCAGGGCTTTTGCAGCAAAAGCCCTCACATTACAAAAAATTAGGAAGTCTTACAAACTGTGTTTATAAACCAACAACCAAATTTTCAAGGCTTTCTCCATGAAAGTTTCCAGGAGGAGGAGAAACCAAATAACCCAGATGGAAAAAGTAATAGAAATTATAACTGCCAAATTCAAAAACAATAATATAATCAAATTTGTTATTAATGGATAAAAACTATTACCTGTCCCTTTCATGAAGAGGGAGAACGGAGGTTCACCAATTTGGCTCCTCGGACAATATGGGAGATAAAAAAAAACACAATTTTGTTCATCTACCATTGCATCAGATCCATGAGCTTGAACTTTTAAATGGAAGATTTGAAGAATTTTAATATGAAACTCAAACTAGCCGACAAAGTTCATGCAAAGTCAATAATTCTTGTGTTTCAAATGGAATTTCATTACAAAACTTAAACATAATGATTGCCAAGGAAATTGCATTTGCGATCACAGAAATAATTGATAGAAGAAAATAGGACATACTAAGGGCAGTTCTAGAAAAGCATATTCACTAGCTAAACCCTATTATCTATCAGTTCATTCTGCACAGTTAAGCCATTATCTCTGAGAAGAAGATGTTTCAAACAGTCAATGCATATCAAGTGAGATATCTCTCCCTCGTTTTCTCTATCTTAATGTATTCTCTCATATTTTCTCTCTATCCCCTCTTGCTTGGTCTATACACATCCTTTTAGAATTTTCTCTCGGCCACCTTTTTTTTCCAAAATTTTCCCTCCAAGTTTGTTGACCTTCCACGTAATTTCTTTTCTACAAAATGATAATTTTTTAAACATAAAAAAATTGGACATTTGCTTTATCTACATTTATTAGTGTTTTCTTTTCCTTTTTCTTTTTTATAGAAGTAAGTCTTTTCAGAAGAGGAACATGAGAAAAGCTTTAATTGCTAGTTTCTTTTTAGATTTAAAGAAAAAAATACTACAAAAAAAAGGAACCGCTTCCGGAAATATTGACCCATTTCTCCCATGTGAATATATTTTATTTATATTCTTAAAATTGACAAAAGATTGCACATATCACACTTTACCTCACTTAAGAATTATTAATGTACACTCCAAGGAGGCCGAATAGATAAGATTTCCAAACAGAAGGGCATTCTCCCAAGCAGAAGACAAAAAGAGCAAAACAAAACAAGTACAGACCAAGAGAAAGGGAATAAGATTTTCTTTTTACCACATAGATCGCTCTCTGGAATTCAGTTGCAAGACACTTCATTGCTATATCATCTCCAAATGTAGCAGCAGGACTTTCCCTATTCTCACCTACGGTTAACAGACCTTCCTCTGTATAGTGTAAAGTGATGATATCATGCTCATCATTGGAAGAACCACATATCGACATGTACTTGGCCCAACTCTGCCCTTCATTTACAGGAATCCATCTATCTTTGTAAATGGATTCGGTAGCCAATTCTCTTCAATCAAAGTGGAAAATCAGACAATTTGCGAGGGTCATTCTAGATAGAAGTTACACTTAAATTCAAAACCAATAATCGAACTTTCGATTGAAATAATTCTATCGGTAGGAAAGCACCCGCCTAAATGTAGATAAAACGGAACTAACACGAATGGAACATGCCAAACAGAAAGTAGCTCGAGCTGGTGGTGTCACCCATGAGTCTGCCTCCAATAGCTATTACACAGCATATCATACGCTGTTTGTTTGGTTCCCAGCTTTGTTAGGCTTAGGCGTACTAGTACGTAACACGGCTATTACTCCACCAATTAGTGACAGCATGATTTTCTTCGAAAATTCTAACCCAAAAAGCCAAAAACAATTCCGAACACAGCATTTCTAGGCTTAAAAACCGAAGAAGCTATGAAATCCTTATTTATGTCTTCTGGACTTGTGGCTTTTTCAAAAAGCTGTTGACATCCTGACTTCTGGTTTTTCACCTTCTGACTTTTTTTTTGGACTATTGGTTTAAAAGTCAAACATGAAATCTAACCCAACCACCTTAATCGTAAAACAAGGACAACCACTAAGCTTAAGCCTAAAATACCTGAAAACTTGTCTTTCCTGAAGCTCAAAACGGCAGATTACCACCCTAGCTTCAAGTTGGAAATGCAGCAGACAAAGTTAAGCCCAAACAGCTTTTATGTTTTCTGCACTTAAACGCTGAATATATATATCACAATGTCGCGAAATTTTTCCCTTTGCATACCAAGATGAACGAGCTCGTCAATGGCCGAATCCAAACCCTTCCGATCTTCCTTCTTCGCCAACAATTTTCACTTCTTGAACCACATCTACGACCCACCCTGACTTCAGACCCGGGGAATACATATGCGTAATCGCTGAATCGATCGCTTGTCTCCCCTCCCTGCTCACAGATCTAAAATTCTCGAAGAACCTTCTCACCGTCCTTCGCCGGAGCTCCCTGGCGCCGATCCCCACAGCCGGCAGCCCCATCGCTCTCCTCGCCGCCGTGAACAGGCAGTTCCCGTCGGCCTCCAAGTCAACGCGTGGCTCAGCTGGAAAACCACCGCCGAAGTGGAACCATCATCCCCTACGCGCCTCCACATGACTCCCTTATCGTGTGGCCTCTGCAGGTGGCGCCTCTGCTGGTCTTCCAAGCCTGAAGCATGTTTCCATCCAGCGATGCCAGCAATGGTTATCGGGTCGGCGAGATCAGCAGGTGGGATGCAATCGTCGACCTATGGGGCTGTAGTTGGGTCCCGCCAGGGGAGAGACGACGTCGGTGAGTGTCAAATGAGCTTTCCCATTTTTGTAATTTTTGAGAAATCCTTGGCGGGCTGCTCTTCCTCCTCCTTTATCGGAGGAGGGGAGAGGGGGGGGCGAGATCAGGTTCAACGGAAATATCGACGTGGGAGACAGTTTGAACACGTGGCATTAAAAAAATTTTTGCTAATACTATGTTTTTTAATCAAAAATATTAATCCTATCTTATTCCATGAAATTCAAACCTAATTGAAATATTATTTTAGAAATGGATATTTGAATACTTCGCGTTGTGGAGATCCAAGCCTCTCCCGCCATAATGCCATCGGAACGTTACAACGAACAATACAACATCACCCAATCACACACGGCCACCTGTCCCCGTATAATTAATTACTCCAGATATTGCCCCGTGTTCAAGGTCCCCACGTCGTCGATATATCCGTTAATCCTAATCCCCCTCTCACTCTATCTCTTTCCCTTCTGCGACTTCTCCATTGAAGAAGAAGAGGGAAGAGCAGCCCGCCAAGGATATCTCAAAAATTACAAAAATGGGAAAGGTTATTTGCCACTCACCGACGTCATCTCTTCCCTGGCGGGGCCCAACGTCAGCCCCATCGGTCGACAATTGCATCCCAGCCGTTGATCTCGCCGACCCAACAACCACTGGCATCGCTGGATGGCAACATGTTTCAGGCTTGGAGGACCAGCAGAGGCGCCACCTGCAGAGGCTACACGATAAGGGCGTTCTGTGGAGGCGCTTAGGGGATGACGATTCCTCCTTGGCGGTGGTTTTCCGGCTGAGCCACGGCGGCGACGTGGAGGCCGACGGGAACTGCCTGTTCACGGCGGCAAGGAGAGCGATGGGCCTGCCGGCGGTGGGGATCGGTGCCCGGGAACTCCGGCGAATGACGGTGAGAAGGTTCTTGGAGGATCTTGGATCTGTGAGCAGGGAGGAGAGACAGGCGATCGATTCGGCGATTACGCACATGTATTCCCTGGACCTGACGTCAGGCTGAGACGTACATGTGGTTCAAGAAGTGAAATTGTTGGCGAAGAAGGAAGATCGGAAGGGTTTGGATTCGGCCATTGACGAGCTCGCTCATCTTGGTATGCAAAGGTAAAAATTTCTCGACATTGTGGCATATATATTGAGCCTTTAAATCCAAAAAACACAAAATTTTCACTTAAATTTTATATCTTGTACTTCGAAGAACAAAAATTTAAACTAATTTAAACAAATAATATACCAAATACTGAAATTTCAAAAATTGAAAGAAGAAAAATTCAAAAAATTTCATGATCACCAATCAATGTTTCGTGATTGCTGATCGATGGAGTTCGCGACGAACAAGCCTTTTCACAACCTCTACCCTCTCGCTCGGCACTCTAGCAAACAACCATTTCATAATATTGAAATGTGAACAACCAAAATAGGTTGACTGGGTTTGCTAGCAAGCGTAGCGTGGACTTGAGAGTTACGAGGAAAACACCAAAAATTGACTTTATTATAAAAATGTCACTGCGTTTTCAACTGAAAACGTAGAAAACAACTTTTTACCCTTTTCTCTTTTTTACCCAAATTTAGAAAATGCTTTCTAAATACAAAAATGAAAATGGGACACCAAACACATTTTCAACTATGTTTTCTATTTTTATTGAAAATGAAAACAGAAAACAGAATAGCCAAACAGGCCCTAATATTTTCTCTATTCTTATGAAAAATGTATGATGATGGTTGCAGTGGAAAATGAGAGAGTAGGAAAGGAAGGAGAAGATGCAATGGAAGATGAAAGAAATAAAAAGAAAATAAGAATAAGAGATGGATAGAGGGAGTGAGTGTTTCTAAATGGAACAATAATCTCTCTTCTGATCACTCATTATTAGGGAAAATAAAAGTAAAAATTAATTAAATTCTGAAAATTTTACTGGTTTTGAAATGGGAATGTTAGTTATTGTCTTTTTCCATTTCAATTTCTTTTTTTATTTCATATTCTAATGAAAATGTCAATAATAATTTTCTATGAAATGGATTGTTTTGGATTGAAAATGGATTAAATATTATTTAATTAATTTATTAGGTATTAATTGATACTAATTTTAGAATTATTTAAGAGGCAGATTTATAGGATTGACATATTCTTAAAGGCATAGTTTTAATTTAAATTTTCAAGAATTTTTTCAAAGGTTATTGTGTTTTTGATTTTTGAGATTTTCAAATGAGATAGAGGCACGTGAATTTCTCTTGGTACGTGTGTTATTTTTTATCTCCCTAAAAACTTTCCTGTTTTGTATGATACTAGTTGGGGGAGGGGGGGGGGGGGACACGGTTGTTAATTCGTTTCAATTTTTAATTTATCTTTGGTAATAATAAGTATGGTATAAATCTATATATTTATACATGTTAGGATGATAACTATAAATTATAAAGTAAAACTAATTTTAATATTATAAATTAACACCAATTAAATAAAAGTTAGTATAAAACAGTACTTTTAACATCAAATTAAAATATTGAATAAGTTGATAAAGTGACAAAAGATTTTTAAAAAAAAAAACACTAAGATATACTAGCACGTGTATGTAAAAGAAAAGATATATGCCCATGAATCCTTGCATAATGGTACAAAGAAGAAAAATCTATTAACCTAACTTGATTTTATTTTGAAAATTAACATCATATTACATTCTATTAACTCATCATCTTATTTGACGAAGTACTTTTATTCAAATGGTGTTTAAGTTCTACATTTATCTTCAAATTTACTAAGATTAGATTACATTTCTGAGTTGAGGTATTAGAAATCTAGCACTACAAAGAGTTATAAACCAGGGTTTTACATGACCAATATTAGCGGATATAAATCAACTTAATAATATCACAAATTGAATGAGAACATATAATTCACTACATTGCTATAATTTTGTGGCTACATACCACTGCCTTTCACAATTAACATAAAGCCAAAACGGGAATAAATCTTGAGAAGACTTTTGTATGTTCTTGTAAATTGATAAATTCTAAATTTTATAATTCTTGTAGGATCTTGAAATACATAATTTTCACAATGACAATAACAATAACAATAATATAAATTTGAGATACATATATTAATCCATAACTAGGTGTTTGAGATGCTTAAGAAATAGACAAAATTATTTTCTATTCTTTAACCTTCTTAAAGACTTATTTCAACATAAGTGATGGTGGAAGAAGAAAAAAACATAAGAGATGATAGGAATAGGATCAGTTTTTATATAATAAAAAAATATCTATAAAATCTAACTTCCATTAAGTTAGTAATTATCTATTAAGAAATTGCCAAACAGTTGTCTTTAAAAAAATAACTCCTTATCTATTATAACTAATTAGATTTCATTGCCATATATATATATATATATATATATATCAAATCTTTTAATATATCACATATCTCACATGAATCATAAAAGTTTTACAGTTCTTACAAGCAAAGTACAATTATACACAATTAAATCACCCTATCAGCCAAGAAACAAAGCTTTATTTAAAAAAGAAAATTATATGCCACCTGTTAAGCTCTTGATTTCAGATGAAGCAAATCAAAGGGACATTTTATGAACACAATAATACAGAAAATACTAACAAGATCTAACCACGAGTTAAAAACGCTTTATACTTTGCAAGAAATCCACACATAAAATCAGCCTACAGCCAGAACAAAAACAAGGTGATTTGTGCATATAAGCAAGGTCACTTGTGATGACAAAAATAATAATTATAATAAGTTGATTTCGTGAAAGATATTATGCCTAAAGTTGAATTTCTCTCTTTTGAATTCTGCAATGAAAGCATTTTTAGGCTATTCAAAGATCATTTTAAGCCCAAATTTGAGCCGAAACAACTATTTTTAAGTTCGGAATCTTTGGACAATGTCTAGGCATTCAAGAAATTCATATCCTTAAACAACATATAGATACAGACAGACATGCAAGAACACTGAGAATTCCTGATTAGTCACGTTGGCTAACCTGATAAGGCACCAAGTAAAAACACTGCAATTGTTTGCTCGTGAGAATGGCTTTTACCAGTTGAAATGAAAATCAGAGCCTTCCAACAGGAGTTCTTGTCACTCATGTGGCCTCAAACAAGAAAGTGATGGCATGTTGGAATTACTCACAGCAAACAAAAAGAAAAATTCAGCATTCAAATCTTGTTGTTACCTCCATTTTTCTTAAGAATATTTCCCAAGCTTCCCACCTGTCAGAAGAAATATATTGTATGACCATTTTAGGGTTGAAGCATACCACACTCGAGTCAAATTTAGGGTCCAAAGCACATGTTTCATAAGGCCATGATACCGACCATGAAAAGTGCAAAGCTAAGTTCTAGTTTATGTGAATCTGACAAGATCAAATTGCCCCATTTTGTACTAAATATTTTGAACTAAAAAATTTTATATATATTTCTTGATCTTATAAATGGAAGTTTGAGATAATAAGGCTTTTACATGCTCCATTATGATTTTATAATTTAATGTCTTCATCTTCTAGAATATCCTTGGATATGATGAACACGTAGCTCAAGCAAATTACAAAGTGAACTGGAATTTGTTGTTCCAAAGTTAATACATATATTTATATGCATCAATTTCTGCTCTTTCAGTAAGATGACATGGCAATAACTCAAAGAAGTAGTGAGCCAAACCAAACCTTAAGTAAAAAATAAGAGGAGGGATGGTGAAGGGAAG